AAGGAAGGAAGGAAGGAAGGAAGGAAGGAAGGAAGAAAGGAAGGACCAGTTTTGACTCCAGAGCTCTGACACACTCTCAGCAGAGAGGTAGGGAACTGTTAAGAACAGAATGATGCCTGCTTTGTCAGATATGGCCACTGCTTTGACTTACTTTGCCCTACTGTACTTTTCTGTTAGGAGGAAGGATCCACCATTACAACTGGGCAGTAAGGGAATGGATATGCCTAGCCCAGAGGCCAGCCATGCCAACACACCCTGGGGAAAGGATTCCCATTGGCCCTTGTCCTAGGCCACACTAGGTACAACTGTGGGTGAGGACTGGGCACCTACCCACAGGAGACTAGACAGTAGGGGCTGGCTCTCTGCCTGTGTGCACTTTGGGCCACCTGTGATACTTGAAAGGAGAAAAGGCTGTGGGTCTCAGAAGAGTTTGAATCCGCTTCCTGACCCTGGGCAAACCATCTCTCTAAACCTGTCTCCTCTCTTGTAAAACTGGTTGCTGTGAGGATCAGATGAGATAATTCACGTACAGCACTTTGCAAACCTTAAAGGGACCTACAAATGCAAGTTGTTATTATTCTGACTTGGAGCTGAAGAGAGATTTGAGAAACCATCTCACCCGTACCTCTCATAGGATGGATAAGTAAACTGAGGCCCAGAGCAGGGAGATCTCTCTCCCAAGGTCACATAGGTAGTCGAGTCAGGATTGGAACTGGGTCCTCCGACTCTTCCACGCCACTAGCCGGTCTCAGGGGTCTCCTGAGTGTCTCCGCTCAGGCCATCTCTATTCATCTTTCCTAGCAGCGGAGAAACTAATGCCCTTTACCTTCACTGAGGAACTGGTGGCTCTGATCCTCAGTGCACGTCCCCCAGACCCTTCCAGCTGCCATCAAGTGAGTGAGTTTCGGGCTTGTGTGTTGGGGGGCAGTGTATCTGCGCCGGGAGAACGCCAGCGTTGAAGTATGGGCCTGTGTGCTGGTGGCTGTGATAGCGCGTGCAGGTCAGTTCCTCGGGTGCCTGTGTACCTGGACCCCAGCGCCTGGGCTGTGAGTGTGTGAGTGCGAGTGTGCGTCTTCCGAACCCTCATTCCTTCGCTCCCTCCATCCTGCTTGGTTGCTACCCAGTGACGCCGGCAGGGCCCACCCCCTGCTTGTCAGTCCCTGTCGGCCTCGCACTTCTCCGCGGGCCGAGCCCAGTGCGGCGCGCTCACTGCCCGCTGCTGGCAGGCTCCGGACCGTCTGGGGGCGGCGGGAAGGGGCACGGCGACGACGGCAGAGGCGGCGGCGGCGGCAGCAGCAGCAGCAGCAGCAGCAGCAGAGGACGCGATGCGCACCGCGGCCACGGAGGCGGAGGCAGCAGCAGCAGCGCCGGCGGCAGGAACAGCTGCAGCACGGGCTTTGGAGGAGGGCACCAGCGCGGCGCCCGGCTCTCGGTGAAGCGCGCCCAGCCTCCCCGGCTCGCTGCACCCCACCGCCCGCGCCCGTTCGGGAGCTTCGTGCCCTGGCCCGGCTCGTTCTCCGAGGGGCTCGGGGGGGGCCAGAGCTGCCTGCATGACACTCCGGCGGGGAGAGAAGACCACCATCAGCATCCAGGAGCATATGGCCATTGACGTGTGTCCAGGTCCCATCAAGCCCATCAAACAAATCTCCGACTACTTCCCCCGCTTCCCCCGGGGACTCCCGACGGCCGTCAGCAGGACCGACTCCCTGCAGGCCGGGGGCAGCCAAGCCTCGGTCAGCCCCTCCGACCCCCCCAGGGACGACGAGGAGGATGTGGACCAGCTGTTCGGCGCCTACGGCCCCAGCCCCACCCGCCAGCGGCAGCCCCCGCCCCGACCGCAGCCCCAGCCCCAGCCCGGTGGCAGCGGCGGTAGCGGCGGAGGCAAGCCGGAGGAAGACATAGACGGGGAGGGCTACGAGTCGGACGACTGCAGTAAGTTCCCAAGTATTTGACTTTTCTTCTCCGCTTTCTCCCATCCCCCGCCCCCGCCACCACACACACACACACACACACACACACACACACACACACACACACACACACACCACTCTCCCCGTCCTCCCGCCCTTACATACAACAAACCCACTTCCCTACCAGGCAACACACACAACGCTCTTAGCTCGCTCCCAAGACACCTCAAATGCTCTCCTCTTTCCCCCCATAACTCACACAACACACTCTCCTCTGCTCCCCACCCTCCCACCCCGCAGCGAACGCTCTCCTCTTGCTATCCACAACACACAGAACAGACACTCCCCCCCACCGCCCGGTCCCTTACAACATGCACACAACATTCAACGCACAACAAAGGGAGAGCCCTTTGCCCGGCCCCTCCCCATATACAACACACTCTCCCTTTCTCTTCACACACACACACACACACACACACACACACACACACACGAAGACATTCTTCCTTTACCCCCCCCACATACACACTCCCCCTTTGCTCCTCACCACACACAACCAGATCCTCTCCCTTTGCCTCCCCAACACACATACCTCTCAACTCCCCTTGCCTTTGTTCCCCTCCCTCCCCTCCTAGTAACTGGGGGTGAGCCAGCAAGCCCCCTTCCCTATTTTTTCCCCTTCTTGCCCCTTGGGCTCAGACTCGGGGACCAGAACTTCAGGAGGCATCCCCAAGGGATGGCTCCAGCTTCTCGCTTATCCAGGACCCTTCTCCACGCCGCCGGCCCCCGGCCGCGGAGCCTCTCTCCGCACCTGGGCCCCAGCTTCCAGTCCCAGGATGTCGGGCACGGACCAGACTAGCGATTTTTCCCCCTGGCAGGGCGGTGCTGCTATCCAGGGAGACACCAGTTGCTGAACACACCCGGCCCAGCTGCCCTGGGCAAGCTGAGCATTGTCCCCCCCCCCCCCCAGACCGAGGGACTCAGTGGAGGGGGAGGGGGACAGAAAAGCAGAGGGAGCTGCAGGGGGAAGGGAGGGGAACGGGAGAGAGGGAAGAGGACCCTCGGCTATTTAGATCATTTATCACTCATGTAGCTAGCGGAGCGGGTCAGCTCGCCGCGGCAGGCAGCCAGAAACCTGGGCGTATGTGCCCTTTCAAAAACCCTTGGATGTCCCCTCTCCCCCTTCTCTGGGGCCTCCCTTTCCCGGGAAGATGTCTGTGGGTTTGTCAGCCTCCGGTCCCTGCTGGCCCCTCCTCCTTCCTCCCCACCCCACCCCCGTTCACCTGTTACGCCTTTGCTTCCAAAGGAGGGAGAGCTGTTCTTCTTTCCCCCTTTTCCATCTTCCACAGAGATTGCCCCCCCCACGGCACCCACTGTTGGAAAAGGCAGCGACGGAGGCAGGGCTGGGCTGGAGGACTCATCCAGTGCCCGGTACACAGGGTTGTGAATTCAGTCTTCTCGAAGACCCTGGTGTTAGCAGAGGAGAGTGGGGGAGAGGGGAGGGGACCTTCTCCACCCCCACCCCAAGGGCTGATGGGGACAATGGAGGCTTCGAGAGGACCCGGGCAAACTTGGTACAGATCCCAAGAAGCCCCTTCTAGCTTTACTCAGTTTGGGGGGCACTAGAGAAGCTGCCCCCCCACCCTGGAAAAGTCTGTTTTTGTTATACTTGGCAGTCGGTGAAATCACTGACACCTGACCCTCAGTCCTGGAAGGAAGAGAATGGAGGAGGGAGGAAATAAACACCCTTTTCTCAGAATTTTACAAGAATAGGACAGCCCAGGCATAGAGGCTGAGGCCTACACTGGTACTGAGTAGTCCCTGGGGCCCCAACTTCTTGGAGGGTGGCTGCTGTTCTGAATGGGAAGCAGTGCTTTCTGGCTAGGGGGTTGAAGTCCTAGATTTGGATTTCAAGGCCTCGAGTTCACATCCTAGATCTTGGCTGTGACTTTGGCAAATCACTTAACCCCTCTGTGCCTTCATACTGGCTGTGTGACTTCGGGTAGGCTCTCTAAGCCTTGGCACAAACTCTGTAAAAGGAGGCTATTGGACTGGATGATTTCCCAGGTCCTTTCCAGACCTCCGTCCTTCCCATCCAGTGCCTTTACTAAAGAGAGTACCATGAATCTGGATCTTGAAGGAAGCCTGGGCCAGAACAGACTGAGCAGCTGTGTTCCCATAGGAAGCATAACCCAACAATTGTCAGGATCTTCCATTTTAAGGGGCGATGAGGCAGGAAGGAGGGAGGAAAGGGAAGGACAGCATTGAGAGCTAGAAGGGACCATAGGGCTCATGTAACGCAATGCCATCATTTGATAGATTTCCCTTAGAAGGCAGTAAATTTGCCTCGGGGAATTTAAGAGGAATTCTTTCTATCTGCACTTCAGAGGCTCTCTCTAGGGCAAAGGGGGTCCTGGAATGAAGAAGTTTCTCTGGGTAGTCTGAGGCAAAGAGCTGGGGGGGGGGGGGGTGGAACAAGAGTAGGAGTCCTCTTATCCCAATTCCTCAGAATCAGAATTTAGAGTCTGAAGGCACCTGGGAACCTATCTAGTCAAGTCCTCTCATTTTACACAGGAGAAAACTGAGGCATAGTGACATCACAAAGATAGCAAGTCTCGGAGCTGGTATACAGACCCCAATCCTTGGACTCCAAAATCCAGAGTTCTTTCCACTACTCCAGGATGCCTTTGCAAGAGACCTGAAAAAGTCCAACCTGGTTAGTAGTTTTAGAGTCAAAAGAGGCATGCATGCTTTGGGCATGACTAGAACAGAATTGACTTCCTTGCCTTGGCTACCATTTAAGCCAGTTTGGTCAATCCACTCAGGGGAGCCAGTCTGGGGTGAGTTCACACTCACCACACACCCCTTCTCCAGCCAGATTTTGCAGTGGAATTGTCACCTCAGCCGCTGGAGGTCAATGGCACTGGTTCCTAAGAGGTACCAGGTTCAGACCAATTGCCACCTCCTACATGAAGCCTCTTCTGGTGTCACTCCACCCACCAAGTTGCTATTGCCCTGCCCCCCCAACCCTGGAAGTTGTGTTTACTTTGGATATATTTTCCACATACTTATCCAGATTCGTGGAGTTTCCTTCCAAGAGAAAGTAAGCTTCTTGAGGGCAAGGATTATTTCTTTTTTCTTTCTCTTTCCAGCACCTTGGACAGTGCCTGGCACAGAACAGGCACTTCATAAATGCTTTTTGATTGGTTGATTAATCTTGGGAAAACTAAGAGCTCTTATCGATGCCTAAAGGGGATGAGGGAGTATTATGTTTCCCATTTCCAGCTCCATTCCTGCTTTGTGAGTTGTGGAAGGACAGGAATGGGAATCAAAGCACAATAGTAAGATTTCTTGCTTAGACCAGGACCTCCTTTCCAGTACCAGAGGCTAACTTTCTGGACACTAAGTCAAATGGCTAGAAGAATAGCTCTTTATCAGAGAATTCAGGAAGCCTCAGGCTTATTAACTTCTAAGGCCAGTACTATTTCCTCCAACCCCAATTCTCTTCTCGACTATATTCATTCATTCCTTCAACAACACTTTCTCAAGAGTCTTACTTTGTACCTTACACTATGATAGGCACTAAGGGAGATGGTGTCAAGGAGGAAAACCATGACTTCTAGCCTTGGTTCTGCTGCTATAAACTGTGTGTCCCAGCATTAGTTTCCTGACAGTTCATAACTAGTCCAGGGACAATGAGACTTTGCCCCGGGACATCATGTGCCATAACTCCCCCTTCCCCCAGGGTCTGTTCTCCCAGACTCCACTGCCCAAGCCTTCCTTTCCACCACCCCCAAACCCAGAAGACTCTCTTCTCCCTGGTTCCCCCATCCAAACCTTCCTTTCCACCACTCCCCAAATCCAGAAGATTCTCTACTCCCTGCTAGACCAGATGCTGACCCAAATCAAGCTGATATCTCTGGTCCTGCAGCCCCTGGAGAGCTCCTCCCAGCTATTTTTGCCCTAGGTGGAATAATTCCTACTTACAACTCAGTTTCCTTATCTGCAAAAGGAGAGGATTAAGGCAGATGATCTCTAAAGCCTGTTCCACCTCTAACGTTCTACGACACAGTCTGTCAAGGACTGAGGAGCTGGAAGGGGCCTCTGGAGGCCTCTGTCTAGTCCATTTTGCAGAATAGGAAGCTGTGACCCAGAGTGGTTGGGTGATTTGCCCAGAGTCACACAACTGGTAAGCACAATACCCAGCATGTAGTAAGAGCTTAATAAATGCTTGTTGATCAAGCAGCAGTACCCAGATTTGGATGCTAGCCTTTTCTTTCCAGAGAGTTCACTATACCATAGCCACAAGAAGCTTTCCTCTGCTGCATAATGATGAGAGGATTTGGGTCCAGTGGCTTCTATACTGCAAAAACACCAAAGATGTCCCAAGGCAGAATGTGATGAAGTATAAGGCCAACACACAGTCAGCACTCAATCAAGGTTTGTTGATTTGATTGAGAGATCAAATCAGTGACAATTATAAATTTACCAAACCCAAACTATGGAGTAACCATGGTCCTCATGTCCCTCATCTACCCCCAAGCCAATAAATAACAAGGGAAGGAACTTGTCATAGGGACAACTGAAATTCCACAACCTGGCAAACATTTATTGAGCCCCTACTATCTGCCAGGCACTGTGCTAGGTGCAAAGGATACAAAGACAGGAAAGAAATATTTCCAGCCCTCAAGAAAAAGCAACACTCACTGGCCCTGGAGTCAGGAGGACCTGAGTTCAAATTCAGCCTCAGAAACATGACTCTTACTAGCTGTGTGACCCTAGGCAAGTCACTTAACCCTGATTGCCTCATCAAAAAAAGAAAAGAAAAGAAAAGAAAAGAAAAGAAAGAAAAAAGAAAAAAAGAAAGAAAAAGCAGCACTGTGCTGGCCAGACCTAAAGTCAGAAAGACCTGCATCTGAATTCCAGTCCAGAAACTTGTTAACCATGTGACCCTGGGCAGGTCATGGAACCCTTTATACATCAGTTCCCTCACCTATAAAACAGGGATGATGACAATACCTT